GCGGAGTGCACCAATTAAAATCGCCCGCCCTTTGGGATCAACCGCAAGATACTGGCCAGGAACGATCCTTCTACAACCTGTTTTGCCAAAAGTCTCTTGATGAACCCGGTCAAAGCATACTTTTTGTGAGTTATATTCTAATATAACAATACGGCCAGCATCCGACCCCACAACAATGTAGTCTAGAAGTAAATAATGTAATCATAAGTTAGAAAAAGAAACATTAATCAAAAAATAAAGACAACCTTTAGTCCCACGAGTTAACCGGAAAGCCAGAAGAGACCTAATTATACCAAATACATTATGGCTGCACATCACATGCACTTTACCAGTCATTGGGTCGCAAAAAAGCAACTGTAATAAGCTGCCTCGTGCCACACAGACTTCCTACAACAGGATCAAAAATTGAAATAATGAACACTATTCTTCAACATATAAAATAATAATAAGCACTTCATTTACATTAGACACATAACAAATGTGTTAAAAAGTAAGCTTCTTTACCTGTTGTTTTGGAAGACCAGAGAACGAGCCGTGAATGGCTACATTTATCGATGATGGACCTTGTAAAGTTAAATTATACAACTGCATTACGGCATGGAGTATCAAAAAAAGGAACTCAAAGAAACCTCAGCAAAACGCAGTGAACAACTTAACTGCCTGAAAAGCGTTTCATATCCACCAAATTTACTAAATGAGTTAAAAACCTGATTATTTTACGCCAAAATGAAAAAAAGGCAAAAAGGAAGACTTCAAACCACAGCAAACCAGTCTACCCATAAAAACAAGACAAAAAGAAAAGAGGAATAAAGCAAGAAAGGCACGACAAGCATGAAAAAGAAACTCATCCTATATAGTTTATTTCTAGCCCAAAAAAAAGTTACTTTTCATAGCTTATGATCTTATAAAGCTCAGATACCAGGAGCTCTTAAGCCACCCCCCACTGAGGCAAGATTTTTCAATAGTTTCTTGCTGTCTTCACATAACAAAGTTAACGTTTGCAGCCCAAGAAAAATCTTTATCAAAAATGCACATAACCAAACTACCAAAAACGTAAAAAACGTTAAATATATATATATAAATATATAATAGACCTATAGCTACTGCTCGCCTAAAGACGACCACCCTACTCCTCAACCACCAGCCCTTCTGAGACTTCTAGCCACACCCGCCAAAAATTCTTTTCTGGCAATTATCCAAAAAAAAATCAAATAAACTTCGAAGCTGAAGCATATCACAAGATTTTGCCTGACCTTAAAACTCTCTCCCTCCCTTTTCGTTATTTTTACTACTTGTAACCTTTCAGTGCGGAATCCATCTGTGTATATATACCCGCGCGGAATTCATCTGTATATATATACTCGCGTTCATTTCTAATTTTATGTCCAAGAACACTGGCGGGTAAATGAACTTGTTTTGGGAACGGCTCCAGCAAATTTGGCGCAGTGCCACTGCGGTGTTACGAGGTATACACTACAAATATAAATAGAACTTTGGTTTAAACAGAGGCTTTAAAACTTGCGAAAGCACCAAAATGCTGCTTCAGTTAGGAGTTTTTCCGATCTACTATTACTAATTCCATCGTAACTCTTGATGCCGAGAAGATGCCGCCTTGTAATTTTTATAAAAATATGCCTTTTTTAAAGAATTTGAAATGTTGTTTCTTGAAAAAAAGCGTTCTGGATTTTTGTTTTTATTTTAATCTGAAACAAAATTTGCTAGTTTAAGCGTCTCACCACTTTTCTGAACCTGTAGGAGACAGTCTTTCAAATAAAGAAAGATGAGGAAAATCCATTGCGAACTGACGAACATATAAGTCGTTCAAGATAACTATTTCATGGGTAAACTGTGTTTTTTTTTTTGCATTTTAGAACAGTCTAACTTTGCCGCCAG